TGGTTTTGGCGAGAAAGCTCACATGGGATTAGATACTATCCCGGTTTTAGATTTTATTTAGATTAACCCCTATCCGTGATTAACATATTAGTGTTTTTCTTATGTTTGAGAGGGCTGGTTTTGGCGAGTACACTCATAGGATAAATACTGACCCGGTTTGATATTTTGTTTTGTGTTTGAGTGGGCTGGTTGTGGCGAGTACACTCATCATAGGATTAAATACTAACCCGGATTTTGATTATTTTCTTTTAGTTACCTCCGCGCCGTGATTAAAATGATAGTATCATTTTTATGTTGAGCGTGCTGGTTGTGGCGAGTGCACTCCTCATAGGATTGATACTATCCCGTTTTCTTATCATTTATCTATTCCCCATTTACTAAAACAAGGAGGTTTGTTTCAGTTTCAATACCGACTAGAGAGTTAACCAGATAACTTTTTCTACGACCGTGATTTTAATTTTTTTTTTTACGAAACAAAATATTTAACTTTAATCTTTATGCCGATTTAAGAGTTAACTAATTAACTTTTGCTGCGACCGCCATTATTTGTTTTTGGTTTCGTTTTGGCTCAACCACCGATCCGACAAATTTATTAATTAGATACTATTGCCACCGAGCATCTTTCTTCTAATTTTAATTCTACCGTCTGATTGAGACTAATCATTACTGGCCGATCTATTTGTTTTTATTTTGTTCAGGGTTTTAAAATTACGAGCGGGGGTGGGCGTTGAAATAATACTTACAAATTATTTATTGTAAATAGTTAAAAATTCAATATATGTGTCAACGTTACCTTGGCTATTACTGAGGTTACTGATCCCTAATTTACTTCCCCCTTTATTTCAGCAGTGAGAAATTCTTTATCACCACAAGTAACGATTAAAGCCCGTTACTTGTGGTTACTTATTACCTGTGTCTGAGTGACCAACGACCCCTGGAATTTTTCATCTCCATCTGTGCTGCCCGAGTACTTTCGACGCCGTTTCGAAAGTTTGTGGAGTAAACCACACATCAAATCTGGCGCCCGAGAACCGTCCCGTCAACAGGCGTCATTTGTAAGTAATCGTTTTCTCTGAGGCGAGAAAACCCCTTACAAGACCACCACCATAATTTTAAATGTGTTCATAAATATTGGTGGAGGAACACGGAGCAGTCACTAGTATACAAACAGTAGTATACAAACAGTGAAGGTAAATAGTAAATAATTCATAGACCTCGAAATATATCTAAATTAGAATAGTATTGTTTTAAAATAAATAAGTATTTTTAGATTTAGATTTATTTATTAATTAAGTTTCTCAAACTGATGTGGTCTTTTCGAAAACAGACTATAGATAATTTTAAAACATCATACATTCTTACATAATACTTTTGAAAAAGTTTAACAACAGTTAAATAGGTGGAAACTAATGCGAATCGAATCAATAAAGTGAATTTCTAATTGATTAATTATGAATGAATTAAATATAGATTGGTAATTCAATGCGGGTGGTTTTTCCGATTCGGTGAATTTTGCTAATTACCCGGCCGGAAAATCATGATGCCCTTCCGGAAAATCATAGTATCATGGCAAATTCGCAATTTTTAATTGCCTCGCTTATTTAAGAGTCGGTTATGCGGAAAATTCGGTGATGTTTACACGGAAATCGCTATTATTTTAGCCGTGATAGAAATCCATTCATGACCAGCGGGCATGAGGTTAATTTTTCGGTGTAATAATATTTTGAAACGGTTATTACAGAGGTAAATCCAAAAAGGTAAATGAATAAATTGAAAATAATTAAGAGGAATTTGTTAAATTAATTGTACTGGAAGTAAATACATACATTCAAGAGTCCAAGGACAAAAAGTGATGTGGACTTTTCCTTTAATTGCAGAATATAATTTGTTTAATTAAAAATGGCAATAAAGTAGTTACAAAAATTTAAATAAAAAAAATCGTTCAAAATTTTATTATAATAAATTCACTGAATTTTTTTTTATTTCAATTGTATTACCTAAAAATTGACACCTTTAATGCTAGTAAAAAAGATTGGATTTAGGAAAATATCATTTTATGAGAAAAATATTGATGAATGGAGGAAAAATCTTACATGAAAGGATCGCTTAAATTTAACCGAGAGATATCGCCATCAATCAAACCAGGATAAAATACGTCGCTAGGGATTTTTTTATCATGAATATATAATAATAGCAAATTTAATATCGCGGAGTAAAATTTTACGAATTGTATAGGGTGAAACAGTTAATTTGTTATATAAAAATGAAAATTCATCGGTGAATAATATATTTTTAAAAATTTGAGTTTCGATTACCTTTTATCTTTATTTTCAGCAATAAAATAAATATTTAACGGCAGTTATCGTTTAATGAATTTTTTTCATTGGGTGGGAAAACTTAATTTTCAATTTGCTCCTTTTTTTCTTTCTCATTTTAAATGTGCGAAATAGATAAATAGGTGGAAAAGGTTGAATTTTAGGTTTTTAATTTGTTTTCTCTCGTTTTAAAGGCAAGGACAAGCTACCTAAATAACCCAGACAATTGTAATATAAGAGCCCATAAATGTGTAAAGGGTTTGCCCTTTTCCAAATTAATTTTAAGTTAAATTATTTATGGTAAATTGTATATACCTATATACTATCTGCAGTTCCGTTTTTTTTGCAAGTCAAAGCACACCCATGAGCCAAGCACTCCTCTATATCAGAAAACTAATCCAGCGTCAGTACGGTCACTCTTAAAGCTAGCCCTAAGAGATAGAAACCAGGGGGATCTCATTAATAAAATGTTACCAGTGGTTATTCCAATACTTTCTCAATAGATAACTCTCGAGGCCATTAGAATGGAGTACTTTCTAAATCTAGAAATACTAAAACGATGGAAGGACTGAGTATCAGTCAAAACTTTCCACCCAAAACCGACTTATGCATAAAATACGTAAGTTCTGGAGATGACAATCTACTTTACGAAAAAATACAGAACAAGCACAAGTCAGCAACACGGTGAATACTGGCCGTTAGCTTCAAACCCTATCAGAGAAGGCGAGTTCCTATTAACGAAATTTCAATTACTTTATCCTTGATTAATCTTCGCAATGATCCTGTAAAATTAATCTACTTATACTGAACCACACACAGCAGCTTTCAACCAAGCCGCTGCTGCAATCAAACGATCCGAGTTCCGAGTCTCCAGGTGCTAAGATGAAATCCGCAAACAGAAGAAGAGGTTGAGCCAGGAGTTAGATGATAAAAAGAGACTATATTTATGTTTTCGACTGTCAGTGATACGGGACTAGTTCGTGTGTGCAAAAGTAAATAGCAAAAAAGTTGTTTTTTGTATAAGGTATAAAATTGGTCACATTATTGTTTGTATAATTATTTTTCTTTTCTGAATTAAAAATTTTTTATTGTCATTAATGTTTGTATAATTTGTTTCCTCTGAATTTAGATATTTTAATGTATTATTATATTCTCTTTCAGTATTAGGTTGAAGGAAACGTTAGGGTCTGGCTTTAACCATTATGAGGCATGTCACGTCCATTTAATAAATTATTACACTTTTAAATAAATTGTAGAATAAAAATAATTATCTCTAATAGAAATTTTTCATTAATCTCTTAAATATAAATATATCCTTAAATAAATAATATTTTATACATTTCAAAATAAAATCATAAACGTTGAATATATCTATCTATTTATCTAAATTAGTGTGGTTTAAAGCCCATTCATACTAAATATCTAGGCTTATTTTATCCCTCACAGTTGCTACCCCTTCATATTAATTTTCTTGATAAATTCAAGAATAAGTCTGTTAGACGCTTTCGCAGTTTCTTCAGGTTTCGAATATTGTACCCCGAAGTGCCATTCCCATTTAAGGTCCCGACAGTGGCACATATTCTACATAGAGAGTCACCAAATATCCCTGATAGATTTAGGTGTCTTCTAAGGCCGCAGTGTCTTGAAAGTTGCTATCAAAATCCATTAGTGAATAGCCTGTATGCCGCCGCCATAACCTCTTTCTCTAGCACAAGGTGTAATGGAGGAAGACCTAGCAGTAGCTCCATTGCTGCGGTGGATGTAGTTCTAAATGCCCCTGTTATTATTAGACAGGCTAGTCTTTGTACCTTGTCTAATTTTATATTAGTTGTTATGCTTTTAGTCTTATGCCATCATATAACTGATGAGTAAGTTACAACAGGTATTACAACCGTAATATAAAGCCAGTGCATCATACTTTATTTAAGCCCCCATGTATTCCGTACCATCCGTCTAGTATTCTTACAGCTTTTTCTGTTTTCTTTATGGCTGCAGAAGCTAAGCTTATATCATGATTGATTTCAAGATATTTAACCTCTTGCCATTTTTAGATGTTGTCCCCACATATAAAGCTTCTTCATTTCGTATTATTTTCTGGTACTTTCCTATTAATTAATATATAAATCAAGTCAACTTTTTTAATTTAGAACGTTCTTCGATTTTTTGTTTTTTCTTTGCCATATTTTGTTTAAGTTTGTATCTAGTCTGACTAAAACTAGTTAAGGCTACCAGACGATAAATTTTTAAGATACCAATGTACATACTCGTACATGGCACTAACAACATTTGAATAGTTTAAAAGAAGGTCACGGTAGTACGGGCAAATGCTTTTCAGTTGAACATGCTGGATATAGCGAAATTACTATTTTCCACAAAATTGAAGAGTTTAGAACTCTCATGATTCTATAATGATAACGAATCTTTTAAAAAATGATTTTGTGAAAAATTAATTAAGCCTAATACGAGAAATGACCTATAGATATTCTCGTGGCCCTGGCATTTAACTTGAATCACTACGTCACTAGATTGTGCAATAATTTATGGACCAGAATGTGAATGTAGCAGACGTGATAGCGATTGCATGTCACTACTCTGGATGCCTTTCACTTGCTATTCGAATGGATAATATAATGGATGGCAGATAGCGTGGAAATGACAGTGGAGCACTTATTTGGCATGGTGGAAATGTGTCGTGATGTTGGCACGCACGCCATCGTGCGACTCAATTAAGAACGAGGCGGTTGCACAAGAATATTAATCGCTAATTACTGCCAACGGCAACAAAGCAATGAGGCAATAATGTAATTACCAGGGTTGTTTAATAAGATCATTGAGTGGCAGCGCCAAATTAATAATCTATATTGTTATTGAGACAGAATTAGTATTTTCCAACGACGAATCTTGTTTACAAAAATCGAATTAGAAACATTCGCGATTTCATCCACGTAGTTGTCAAATTATTATGAGAGTATGGGAAGGATTGTTTATGATTATAAGTCGAAATTAATTTTCACATATGGTTCTAAAACACACGCTCTTTCTAATACGGTAGTCGATGGAAAGTTCTTTCTGCCTGATACAAAATACAATGGATTAATCTAGTAGTTTTTCGGTGCTGGTATTTTTAAATTCTGTTCACTTTAAAAGATACCCTCAACAAAAACGTTTGGTCCATAAGTTTAGCCGAAAAAGTTCAAGATTTTGTTTTGTTATGGAAATAGTAGCGCCTTTATGGTATGCTTCCCGTTGTGAGTTGAGTAATTTTCATATTGTTTTCAAAGTCTTTTAGGTAACGTATCTTCTAAAGAACAACAAAAATATTGTCTATAAGTTCTTGTAATTTTTTGGGCTCTAAATTGGATAATGAACTATCCTCTGATATTAAATGAATAAACTCTTACAACTTATTTAAAAAACAAACCAATAGATTCATAAAATTAAAAGAGTTTCTTAGTTTAAATATTATTAACATTATTTCCAAGTGTTAGGTACTTTTGTGTTATTTATTATTTTTTTTTTTTTTTTTCGTTAGAGTCATCCATACAAAATCGTCTGAAAATAAAAAAATTGTTGCCGATCCATTTCTTTGCAAAAAAAAACTTTGCTTGAAGTTTTGAAATTTTCAAAAATTGCGTTATTCAGGTTATATAATGAACGTGTTGACTGCCAGATAAAAATCTGCAACTCTCAGAATCTACTGTTCTTACCTTTAACTTTAAATGACCGTACCACTTGTTTTGTTACTCATGTTTAGTGCATGTGCAAGTCGTTTTTTACAGCAAAACTCAACAATTAAAAAAAAATTAAATTTAAAATTATTTAACTTGCAGAATTATTTAGTGATTGTATTATAGTGATTTGGAGGTTGATGTTGGTTAGCTTGTTGTTAATAATATTTAATGAATACATTGGTGTAATTGGACATTTTTGTTATGAATTTCAAAGTTAAAATAAGCCATTTTTTACCCACATATGGTCATTCGGTTGATATTTTTTAAATCAAGTATATTTACTCTCTAAACAACTTTCGCACTGACTATTAAAATAAATAAAATAATCCAAAAACGTACTTAATTATTTAAAGACGCCTGTCGCAGTAACTTAAAGATTCGTAGAAATATTTTCCTCAACGTAAAACATGTAAAAAACTACGGTAATCTTTTTAAAACAGATTTATTTTGAAATAATCCTCGCAAATCTTCCACCTACTTTTCTAAAAACAAACAGAGCAGAACTAAATAAAGCAACCTCATTCTGAATAGGATTACACTGAGGATTATCCTTTTTCCGTGCAATAAAAACTAACAGCCTTTAAAAAAACGATGAAACACTGAAATGCTGGGTGATTACAGGCTTTAATAAAAAAATTAGGTATTATTTTTTGTAGTAGAACAGTTCTATTAGTTGGATAAGTAACAAACTGACACATGTTCATATAAAATTAAATTTCAATTCGAAAACGAAGAATATTCTCAATACCAGAAAATTAACATAAAAAAATTAAATACAGTTTTAATCATAGAAAGTGGTGGAGTTGGTTGTAGCTTAGCCATTGCTTTGTAGTTTAGATTGCTTGCTTGCACACTCGCTTAACACGTCCGCTTTGTGGGTAGGTAACTTTTCTACAGGACGATGGAGAAATGCAACAATCGAGTGCCTGTCCCCTCGTGGCACCACTGGATAAGGCCAATAGCGATGCTTCAAGAAGCACCACTATTGACTAACAAAATGGTACTCCAGCAAAGCCCAATGCCACGGAGTAAGGTAACGTACCTAAGGATGAATGGTCGCAGGGTTTAATATGCGAATGCGAATGTTCCATGTGGGGAACCGGGCGAAACCCCCCAAGTAGCCAGCCTTGACTCTGTACGGGGGACTGCAGAGTTGGACCAACCCTTCCCCCATACTCGTGGGAACAAATATGAGTAAAAATAATTTGAAAAAATGGACACCCAAGGAGAGTCGGATACAGACGACTCAGGAACATAACTGAAGGAGAGATTGCGTTAGCTTTGGACTCCTACAATTCAAGGGAAGAAGGAACTGCGAAAGCAGAGGACTCTAGCCTCTTAGCGGGAGGCGGATCTGTGAAAACAGACGACGGCTCCCAAACAAAAGAAACAAGGAAAAATGCAGAGGTTGAGCCTGCTGACATACCGAAAAAACCTTCAGGAGCAGAGAGGAAGAAGCTTATGAAGGAAAGGAAAATAGCTGCAGGAACGTGGACGGAAGAAAATCCCCACAAGAATGCAGCCCAAAAACGAACCCAACGAAAGGAGGACCAAACGAAGAAAGGGGATAAAAAGCCCCAATCTGAGTCGCAGACTCCCCCCCACTCGAAGTGGAACCAAGCAGGCCAGAGAAAGCATCCAGATACAACCCTAGACCAAGCACAAGGAGACTTGGTACAAAAAACTCTTGTGGAGAGGCTCTACGCTGCTCCTTCAGGCAGTGGAGGAGCACCACAGTTTCATAGAACATCGTTTAGCGCAGGGGTCATTTGGATGACCTACGCTAACCAGCAGACCGTGGACTGATCAAGGAGGACGGTCGGCACTCTGGAAAACCTTTGGGAGGGCGCAGATTAGACCGTGGATGATTCTAAGGACCTCCCGAGAAGACCCAGGGTTCTGGTTTTCATCCCGGACGAATACGAGGTTGAAAAAGTCAGGAAACTTCTTCAGCTCCAGAATACGGAACTGAAGACGCCGGATTATCTTTTAATGAAGGGCAACTCCTAGCCTTTTTAATTGATTAAGCGTCGTACGGGGCCCTCGAGAGGTCACAATTCCGGGCCTATTATAAGCCAGGGTCCTAAGGCGGCCTGGCGAGGATCAGGATAATCCAGATCAACCTCCAGCACTGTAAGGCTGCTTTGACTGTACTTACAGTGGCGATGGGGAGGTTTGAAGTGGCCCTGGTACAAGAACCGTAGATTAGACACGGTACAGTAAGAGGTTTAGGAGGGTTGAGTGGAAAGTTAATATATGACAGATCCACAGACACCCCTCGAACCTGAATAATTGTCAAAAAATGCATAAAATACTGCCGTTAACTAATTTCTTTTCCAGAGATTTGACAGCAGTCAGAATCAAGATCGATGCAGGAAATGGACCGAAGGAGGTAATACTCGGATCGGCATATCTACCTTCAGACGATCCAGAGAAGTGGAGGAGCTGGTGAGATTCTGCAGGCGCAACGGAATGCAGATGATTATTGGCTGTGATGCAAACGCATACCACAGGATCTGGGGTAGCACCGATACCAACGAAATTGGTGAGTCTTTACTACAATTTATTATGGCAAATAATTTAGACATAACAAATGTAGGCAATAAACCGACCTGTATAATAAAAAATAGAAAGGAGGTACTAGATGTAACAATATCATCAACATACTTGAGTAATTTTGTTAGACTGGCATGTGTCTGACGAAGAGAGTTTATCAGATCACAGACACATAAACTTCAATATTAAAGGTAATATTGCAAAAGAAATTTATAGGAATCCCAGGAAAACAGACTGGGAGGCATACAATGCTTTCCTGGAATGTAATCTTTCGAAGATGAGAAAGAAGATAAGAACAACAACCTACCTAGAAATGGCTGTGGATGAGTTTAATAACACAGTCACTAGCGCTTTCAACGATACCTGTCCCTTAATAGCAAGGAACTCTATAAGGAAAGTTCCATGGTGGAATAATGATCTTGCTATACTAAGGAAACAGGTAATACAAAAATTTAATAAGGCTAAAGTAACCGGCGAATGGGAATTATATAGAACCATACGCACCTGTTACAACATAGCCTTACGAAAAGTCAAGAAAGAGTCTTGGAAAAGGCACTGTGAGGAGATTGCAAGCACTCAAGATTGTGCTAGGCTAAAAAAAATTATCTCAAAAGACACACAAAACACAACACACAATAAATACCCTTAAGAACGAACTGGGGAGTACACAATCACAGGGAAGGAAACATTAAGGGAACTTTTCAGGGTTCACTTCCATGGTGCACAAGCCATAGCACACACACCGGCTAACCGGAATCTATACGGGCCGGAAGCTCACAATAGAGCCAACAGGGAAGATTGGAGGATAGCCAAACAAGTGGTGAACTATGATAAGCTGGAATAGGCAATTAGCTCATTTGAACCATATAAATCATCATCATATAAATCATACCAAAACCTGGGAAAATAGGACAGGAAACGGCAAAGTTCCTAAGACCAAGTCTTATGTCCTTTGTACTTAAAACTTTGGAATAACTGCTAGACAGGCATATTAGAGACGGGATATTGGTTCAGAGGCCAATATAGAAAGACCAATACGCCTATAGTGCAGAGAAATCAACTCAATTAATAAAAGGGGTGGAGAACACTAACTAACTATTTACTACCTTGTTTATACCACTTAACTGTTTTTTATTAAAACCTAATTAACCAAATATATTTCAGTTATTTTCCCCTTCCTCTACTATAAAAGATTTATTCTTTGCATAAAACTCTTAAAATTGTAAAGTTTTACGATTAGAATCTTTTGTCTAAGGGATTTATTTTTGGGATTTTGGAATTTTTCGCACTAATGCAATTGCATTAATTTTTAAACCAAATTTTCCTTGATGTTTATATCATTTCCTAAACAAACTTTACCAATTAAATATTTCCATTTCATAGTCGAGTAATTTCAACGTTTAATCAGATACAGTGATCTCATTTCCCCAAACCTGCCCCATTTGAAATTCCAAGAAATCTCAGGTAAACGAATCCTATCATCCGCCGAAATCCCCCAGAGTTATTTTCCGCGATCGGCCCATAACAGGAGATGAGGATAATCCGGGAAAGACGCCGAAGGCGCCAGGCATCGCGGCGCCTCTTCAGACGCTTGTGCGACAAACATCGCGCGCGGCGCTTTCCCTTGACCGCCACCGGCGGTGGCCGGGAACAGGTTTGCCGGGAACTGGAACACCCGAACAGTGAAAGGGGAGCAGATCAAGGTCTCTGGAAGGCGTGGATTTTAAATAGATACATATCTTGTTCCGGTTCCTGATGGTTCGGCGGCTGTTGCTGTCGAGCGGATGCTTTTAAAATATCCGTTACATATTTTTATTATGCCTGATATGGTTTATTCGTATGCAAATGAATTTTTCCTGCAACATACACGGAGAAAAATTTTTATAGTTCGGTACATGCAGAAAAACATAGATTTTTATAAACCGAATAAGAATTTCTATTATGAACATGAATAAATTTTAAGCTTTATATATTTGGGAATACAAATTATTTTTACCATTTATAGTTGTGATTGTCAGGTTTACAAAATTAATATACTATTATTTACCATTCGTATATTATTGTCTAAAAAAGATATTCCAATTGAAAAGTACCTAAGCATACAAATTATTAGAAATACTAAAATATTTCTTTGGTATTAGTTACCAAATAAGTACCACCCCGTTTTTTAAATGTAGGTATGCATAATATTTGTTAAATCATTTGTTGCATTAAATTTGTCAGCAATGAGTAATTTTATATGCCTACAGATCGTCCTGGAATGTCTACTTTGTAATAAAGTTAAATTCTCATTACTAATTTAAATCATATAATGAATCCGAATATCTCTAAGTCTGCTAAAAAAGAATGTATGTTATTTTTGCATTTTTATATTGATATGAATTATGATTAGGTTAAATCAGGTGCGCACCGCAGTGCATTGAGGTAGATTTTGGGGGTACTACCAGAGGCGAACTCTGGCCGCGAAATTAAAATACAGTTCAGGTATCGGTAACTGGTATAGCCCGAACTGAAACGATGTTTTAGTTTAAAAGAATTAATTTTAGAGGGCCCTGTACACACAATTTACAGAAATCTACAATTGATGGAGAGTGGGAGTGTAATTTGTCATTGGTCATTGTCAGGCATCCATTACCTCCCGGTGAATGACATTTTCCATTACCTGTATTTATTGTGATTATCAATAATATCATATTGTCAATAATTATTATTTGTTTGTATTTGGGTATGCTCTGGTTTTAACAGTTGTAAACAGGCGTGCGTTATCAAGGCACACATTAATAGTTTTACTTTGTTGTTCTTGTAAGCTTCAGTCTGTATTAGTATCTATAAACCTATGGGTTCTTTATCCAGTTTAACGAATTAGGAGATAAAAGGCTTATGTACAGGGTGATTCTTTTATCATGGGAAATGAGTTTTTCTCGTAAATGGCTGCAGCAAATTGGGTTCTGTAAAAAGTATTTTATTTGGGCTGGTTATTGCTTGAAATTGGGATGGATAAGGAAGTTATAAATAAACGACGCTGGGCGTCGCGACGCTTTAAATTTTTTTTGTCAGAAGCATACCATTTTTATTTCAGAAATTGAAAGATCTATTCAATAAAAACACTTTTTTTAAATACTATTTTTTTCCATCTAAAACCATTCAAAAATTACAGACCAGTTTTTATGTTCCAAATTTCTAGATTGCCATACAAAGAATGCATGGTATTTTAAATTTCACTAAATCAGGTAGGCTTTGAAAAAACATAATTGGCTTATATTGATTGATGTCTGAAACTGTCAGTGTAATTTCAATTATTCCTATTAAAATAGTGAGTAATAAGAAATATGTTTACACATTCAGATAAAGTTGACATGCTTCTTTTATACGGAGAAGCCCAAAAAAATGGTTTAGCTGCAAGAAGATTATATGCCGAAAAATACCCCGAACGCAACCTTCCAGACCACAAAATGTTTGCCAGGTTAGAAACTAGTTTACGTCAAAACCCTAAAGCATTTGAAGGTAGGTTTTGTGTTTTTTAATAAATCCCCATAAATTCAATGAGCCAAATTTGCAGGTAAAAGATCAAGAACAAAAACTGTCACGACGGATGAAAATGTGGCAATTATTTTAAATTATTTTAACAATCACCATGAAGCTTCTATAAGAGAGGCTTCAAGAGACTTAAATTTAAATTATAGTGTGATACAAAGAGTTTTAAAAAGCAACAAATACCATGACTATAAATTTCATAATTTGCAAGAACTTTCGCTTAGAGATTTTGAGAGGAGGAAGGATTTTATTTGTCAGTTTTTGGTGTCTTTGGATGACAATCCTAATTTATTTTCTCATATACTATGGACAGACGAAAGTCATTTTGTTAGTCATGGATTACCAAACAAAAAAAATACCCATTATTGGTCAGACGAAAACCCGCGCAAAATCAGACAACATCAAATACAGGGCCACTTTGGCATAAACGTCTGGTGCGGAATAGTCGGGCGGCACTTAGTAGGGCCATACTTTTATGAAGGCGCCTTGACGGGCCCAAGATACTTAGATTTTCTCCAAAATCACCTTCCTCTTTTGCTGGAACATGTGCCACTGCAAATCAGAAGAAACTTATGGTTTCAACTAGATGGAGCTCCTTGCCACAATGCGGTCATTGTTCAAAATTATTTGAATGAAGTCTACCACGGAAGATGGTTGGGGACACACGGGCCCTTGAAATTTCCGCCTAGATCTCCGGACTTGACACCCTTAGATTT